TTGTGTTCAGCAGGCCAACCGCAAGCCAGATTTATTCGAGTAGTACAACCAGTTGTAGATGTCTAATATAATTCCAGGTTGGCTAATTGATTATACCACACTGTCAACCCTCCCCCCCCCTCCAATTCCCTTCGGAGGAATGGGCAGAAGTTGGAAAAAATCTGAGTTACTAGTTACATATTTCATTTTTATTATGCGCCGTACTGTGTTAGCCATAAAGTTCAAACCAGAAAGAAGGATATTGCTAGACATATTAGCGTTTTCTTAGTCACCCTTCTGATTTGAACAGAGTGTTACACCCTTGTGCCACGGTGAGGCCCAGTACTTCCGACTTCCACAAGGGAGGGAGTGGTGAGGGGCCGTTTTGAGTTGTGGAAGACAAAACAAAAATGTTGTGCTTTTATAAGTTAGAAAAACAGACCATTTATTGTTCTGAAGTTTTGTTCCATGCCTGATACCTAATGAAACCGTTGCGGCAATAAAAAAACAAAACTAGGATGAAAATAAAAACACTTTGCAAATGTTGAGAAGAAAATACTAAAGGTCACTGTGCGTATTTATATTGTCAGCTTAATAAACGTAATTCTACATTCACAAGCATCTGCCAAAAAAGCATGGATTTGGTTCATACCATCATCTCAAGCCCAATTTGATATCTTTGTTAACTTTACCTTGAGTTATCAAAAAGAGATATTTGTAGACAAATCAAGTAAAAGATAGTTGTTTGTGAGCAGAAATTACATTGGTACGTTTAGAGGTGGATAGCAATAAATCTTACAACCAGAACAGTCAGAACAATCAGACCACCAAGAGCCTAAACTAAACAATTAAAATGAAACCTCACCTGGTTCACGCAAAGTACATCGCTGTTTGGACCTAAACATTGTTGCAAACATTGTGCTTGGAACGAGGTTGCCACAAAACTCTTGAGAATGAGAGGCTTTAAATAGAATTTGTCAACGAGCACAGTGACCCAAACAGAATTGATCTAAATGAAGAGGAAAGCGAAATGACAGACATAAACAAATGCAAAAAGGTGTTGTAAGAAGAATTGTGAGGTAGAAATGGCAAGAAAGCAATTTTAAATACGACAAGACAAGTTTGAAGAGAATGAGAAAACTATTCCAGAGAATTTGAATTGCATCATAGATATTGAAAAGGATATATTTCATATGGAAAGCACATTGCTAGAAAAAAAAAAGAATTCTACGAAGTGTTGTATTTCCACCGCAATATTAAGAAGCAACGACCATCAAGAGACAAGAAGACTTTTAAAAATATACTGAAGACAGAAACTAAAGAAGGTGAATGAAGAAAAAAAGGTATAGAAACACCAACACTCCTTCAGAGCATAATGACAATGAACCTGAACTATTTTGAACATATCAAATAGAATGATTCATCCTAGAAAGATATATTCTAAGAGGAAAGGTAAAAAGCAAGAGAGGAAGGGGTTGGCTTAACAGAAGATGGGAGTTGCGCTCAGAAGCATAGTAAGGAATTAAAACAATTCAGGCATGGAGAATAACACGAGTTAGAATGTTTGATTGTAGAAAGGTCCAAGAAGCAGAGTCCATCAACTCAAAAAGCTAAACAGGGGAAGACGAAGAGATAGGATGTGCGTGAGGAGGAGGGCACAAGGGACGGGAAAGAACAGGGCGGGGGATGGGGAGGGAGAGTTGGGTCTAAGCTAGTGGTAAATCATATCACCGTTACATCTTCGCTGGAAAGGTCAGTCTGCGTCAGTTTCGGACAATAACGAAATGCACTCGGGTATGTCAGCTTCCTCCGTACACAACTTGTCAGCAGGCTGTAGTGGCTATAGAGACAAGGCAGGCAAGCATTCCTCCGAGCTTGAGCTCCAGGATTGGACCTCTTGATCACCGCTTTTTGCTCTACGGAATGGTCTGTTGACAAGACACTGACCTGCGAGGCCATACGACACGTGACACGATTTGTGGAGGCTTCTACAATGTGACTCGCACAATTATCGCGGAAGATTTCCGGCTGTCCAGAGTCCGACTCGCTCTCCCAGTTGGTGGGTTGCGACAGGGCAGATCTTCGTCTGGGTGGCCTGACGATAGGTGTGTCGCCGGTGTTCTTGTGGAACCTTCTCTACTGAAAATAGAATACTCACTTGGTGAGTCAGACAGTTCTACACCTGTATGGTTTACTTTGTGGTCCCCCAATCTGGTATGATCACCCCGAGGGCATTCGGCAGGGTTTTCGTTCTGCTGGCTTGAGCAGCTGCTTTGCAGGGAGAGATGGAGATCTTGAGAGTCTCCTGAGTCCAGCTGGTTGCTGCTTTCTTCCCTGCAACAGAGGGAGAAGCAAGACAAGAACAGTTTACGGATACGCTTCATCACTGGGTTTAAAACTAACCACCAGTTGTACCTTTAAAAAGTAGAGCCCTGAAATTGAGCCTTTGGGAGATTTTATTCCTCAATTCCTCACCCTGTTTCTCTTTTTCTCTTCACATACCAATACAAAGAGAACACGAGGTGTGTTTGTGAGTGTGTACGTGTGTGTGTGTGTGTGTGTGTGTGTGTGTGTGTGTGTGTGTGTGTGTATTTGAGTTGGGGTGGGGGGGGGGTTGGAGGGCGGCATCTAACAACTAAAGAGCTTACAATCTGCTCACTGTGCTGTGGACATATTCGTGCCAAACGAACTATGACAGGTCGGGGGATTGACATATAACGGAGTGTCTTCTCCCTTCTCTCAGTCCGGTCCCCACAGTGTAAGGGGATGAAGGGAGAGGGGAAGAGAGAGAGAGAGAGAGAGAGAGAGAGAGAGAGAGAGAGAGAGAGAGAGAGGCACGGAGGAGACAGACGGACAGTTCGACAACCTGACGACAGCCCCCCTCTATCCACCCCTGACCATCAATAATCTATATGAGCCTTTGCCAAAAGGTGGGGGTGTTTGCATGAGGACTTTTTAAATCAACCACTGCTCATGGAAAAAATGTTTTCTTCTGAAAACATTATGAATATGGCAACGGAATAAGTTGGTCAAGCTGCATGAGCAAGTACATTGATGAGTGCATCTTATATCTCTTCATTGAAAGATAATAGTACTAAAAATAGGACATTTTTTACTCATCTTGAGTGCACACTTAATTGTATGTTAAATATAGAATATTGTTAATCTTAAACTATCAAACAGTAGTGCATTCAAACACTGAAAATATTTAGTATACACCATCATAACACCGTGTGTCCATTAACAGGGTTTTATTTTTTTTATATTAATGATGTTATTGCTGAGTAAAAGTTATAAGTTCGTTCATAACTCGTGTCACAATTACATCATCAGACTTTCAAAGGTCTAGAAAACCCAAATCATTAACCATGTCAGCCCCAGGAATGACCAGTATTAAACATTGGTTTGACATTGATCCATCAGAAGGGTAATTTTCCGCTCCGTCGCATGGTTTTGCCGAAATATGACTTTGATGAAAATAATTCAGGTTTGTCATAATGATGTTAAGAACAAACACTTTATGATATTTCTGCAAATTATCATGTGAGGGACTTCCCACTGTTTCACAACATCCTTTTACATGGTGGCATAAACATGGAAGAGCAGTGTGCTGATGACTCAAAAGAGAAGCGAAGAAGAGGCAAACATAATAATATGCTTGTCATAATGGATTGTCATCCTGTTATGAACGTGACAGTGTGTCATAATGGTTATGAACGAAACCTTATTCCATGTAATTTACAGTTGTTTTGGAATGTATTTTACAAATTTTAACTCAACTAAAGGATGTATTAGACCTTGCTTACTTCTGATATTTTGATTTTTATCATAAGTCTGGATTTTAATTAGTATTATACTTTTGTAGCAATGGTTATGAACGAACTATATATTGTACTCTGAGGTCTTTCCAGTGTTGATAAACATTAAAAACATGTACACAAATACATATTATTAGGATTTCATTTAATATAAATATCTTAAAGTAAATGACAGGTCAAAGTATTGTCAAAGTTGTTATGAACGAACCATTATAGTGACACCAGTCATCCATGTCCAGGTGCTGTTTTAGCATTCTTATCTATCCTTGCGCACCCTCTCTCACACAATTTCCAATCCTCCACTTCAGGCTCCCCGTTGGTCCAGCTCATCCCCCACAGTGTAAGGTTCGGCGATTAGTCAACTCTTCGTTTAAGCCTTTAGGGGATGAGGGGAGAGTGAGACAGAGTGAGAGAGAGAGAGAGAGAGTCAGAGAGAGAGAGAGAGAGAGAGAGAGAGAGAGAGAGAGAGAGAGAGAGGGGGGGGGGTGGGTGGGCGCGGAGGAGACAGACAGACAGACGGACAGCTTGACTACCTGACGACAGTCCCCCTCTATCCACCCCTAACCATCAATAATTTATATATAGTGACACCAGCCATCCATGTTCAGGTGCTGTTTTAGCCTTCTTGTCTATCTTTGAGCACCCTCTCTCACACACTTTCCAATCGTCCACTTGAGGCTCCCTGTTGGTCCGGCACATCCCCCACAGTGCCAGGTTCAGCGGTTAGTCAACTCTCCGTTTTAGCCTTTGAGCACAGCAAATTTCTTCCCCCAACCCCAACCCCAACCCCAACATGTTAGGCGTCTTATGGGATGTTATAGCGTTATGTAAGTTAGGATTTGATATAAGGCTGGAGCATTATATGACACTGAGAAAATAATCTATACAAAAACACAAACGAAATGAACTTTAATTGTATAATATAAGTCAGTTTGTTACATGTCAGGGAGGTAACTGTGAAATCTCCTCTTTCGACTATTTACATAAATGGCATGCAATGGCGTCCACTGAAACCGAACTTAATAAACTGAAAATTGTGGTAAGCTGAAAGAAAGTAAAACCCATGAATCCTTTTTTTCTACTTGGACTATCTCTCTAAACAGAAAAAAATATAAAATGTAGCAGTCCAGCAGATTTCGATTCAGGTGGACTCCATTGTGTTAAATTAATAATTTGGAGATTTGGGTCATCGAGGTGTTTTTTTAACAGATTGCGATAACACTAAATCTTAACTAACAGCAGGCACCAACTCTGGGGTGACCAGACATGGTCAGTTTCTGAAACTGCCAATTGTGGTACGTATGAATAAGAGGGTAACATCATTCTTGTATTTTTCTGCATTTCTCACACTGTTTTAGGATAGTCGACTACAACTTCTTGAGACAATGATGCGTTATTTTTTTTTTATAAAGCACAGCTATTGTTTTAAAAATATTAAACAACTGCAACAGTGTAGCATAATTAGTAATGCGTATAAAAGCATCATGCTGTGTATCTCTCTCTCTCTCTCTCTCTCTCTCTCTCTCTCTCTCTCTCTCTCTCTCTCTCTCTCTCTCTCTCTCTGTGTGCGTGTGCGTGTGCGTGTGCGTGTGTGTGTGTGTTTGTGTGTGTGCGTGAGTGTTCATTTTAAGTCATTTATCTTTCATTTGACCGAATATTGGGGCTCTCCTTTGTTGGTATCTTGCTGAACACAAGGGAGCGCTTGGCCCTGGTTCGAATCTTAAATTAGGTGTTCTTAAACTAGAGTCATTTTTGTGAAGTTTTCAAGGCTCTAGCAATTTGGCAAGGTACTATCGGAGACGGACGTTACCTTCGATAATAACGTAAGCATTATTGGTAGCGGTGTTAAACCCATACACTTCACTAATATTCGTCACAACCGGTGTGCCCAGTACCTGACTTCCATAGATCGTGCTTGACGTGACATGGACAGATATTACGCACCACTGATTAGACAACACTCACAGGCAAAAGTTAACATGTCTCTTATCTTTGACTTTATCTTGGTGTGTTCCGCCAGTGTTAGTACTCAGAGAAAAGGACAGATACAAGCAGGAAGAAACTTTCTCCACTCAGAAGCGATTTCAACTTGTATCTGCCGAGATGAAAAGTCTGATGTGTGTTATCTTCACTTTGCTGGCCCTGGCAGGTGAGAGAAAAACAAAATCTCAAGATGTTGTTTGAATGTGTTTTTATGAACATGTCGCGCCTGTTTGTTAAATGGTCATGTCGAGCTAACCTATTCGTATCTCGTCGAAGATTTTGGTAGCTTTTTCATGTTTAGAGGAGGCGGGTTTGGGAATAATACTTGACGGTAACGACTGAACCTGTTAGACGACTTTTCCACTTGACGATCGTCTCGTGTACCACAATCCACAATATTGAAGGCGTTCTCTTTAAGTTTTTATATGCTCGGGACTTGTGTCGAATAAATACTTTGCAAGTGAGCATTTTAACACTCAGCCAATGAGGGACAGCCTTGCACGCACAGTTCGTTACGGATATTTCGCTCCTAGACTGATTGCTGGCACACAGAGGAACCGAAACGTTATCAGATGGTTCTATTTTTTTGCTTTCACCAATACACTTAAATAGAAAAGGTATAGCATGACATGCATCTGCGATAATGCGTTTTACTTTATGGCCTGGCCTGGGTAATTTCTTTCGACCACTCCCGCACCCTGAGGCACTACTATTAAAAACCTGAAGATAGCGGAGGAATGTTCTGTTCACTGACGACATGGGATTTTGTATCAAAACAATGTCAGAGTGTCCAACCTCAACCCAGATGAACATTTCTGGACCAGCAATAGTGTGGCAACAACAACAAGACGCATTTTCCAAGGACAGCTGGCTTATCGTCTGTGGCAAGGCTTACTACGCTTTATTTAAATACATTTGAGGATTTCCACCATAAACAGAATGAATCCAAGTAAAGAGGAAAGTTTGTACTCTATTTTGACGCCATAGTGACAACAATTAATTTCTAGACATACTTTGGCTGACAAGGCGGATCAGCGTCAGTGGAATAGCGTTAGGCGCACACAGTAGACCCGAATTCGATTCCTGAAAGGGCAAAATTTTTATCGATATTCCGATCCTTCTGTTGGGATGTTTCATCTCTCTCAGTCTAAGTTGGTCTTGATAGAGTCGAAGCCAGCCTCCTAAATAATCGAAATCGTTTAGCTGGGGATATAAAAAACACCCACATTAAAAAATTGACCTGGATAAAAGTGTACTGCTTTGAACTGATGGCTTCTGTACGAATACCTTTGTCACTCTAACACTATGATATGAACGGTCAGATTCCTTGTATGTTTTAACATAATAAGTTGTAGTATAAAACATATAACCACCTTTCGCATCTGCTTCACTGGCGTCAGTGGTGACTGGTGAGACTTTTCGCCATCGCGCACATCTGACATGAATTCAATTTCCGGGTTGGGAGATATTTTTTATCCCCATCTGTGTGCAGTGGCATCGTATCCCCCTCAGAACGTTGATTGACCCTGCCCCGTAGGATTGCAGCAGCCCGCCTCTTAAATGATGTGGATTACGTCGATACCGACGTCTCCAATTAGGCCCCTACTATAGTCATACATACTCAATAATAATAATAATAGTAATAATAATAATAATAATAATAATAATAGCAATACTAATTATAATAGTATTATTATTAATAATAATAATAATAATAATAATAATAATAATAATAATAGTAATAATAATAATAATAATAATAATAATAATAATAATAATAATAATAATAATAATAATAAATGAATTTATAACGCGCCACTATCCAAAAAAAGCGCTCGATGGCGCTTACAAAAAACACACACACAGACACACACACACGCACACACTCACACACACACACACACACACACACACACACACACATACACACACACACACACACATACACCCACAAAAGCTCTAAAGCTCAACACCACTACGACACGCATAAAAACAAAAACAAAACAAAAACAAAACAAAAAAGAAACAAATAAAAAATCTGACAGATATTTCAGATATAGATGTAGAGTTCCAGCATTATAAATATACCTTCCAGAAAAACATTGCCTTCAACTTTGATGTAAATTGATCAATTGAAATTTAACATCTAAATCCATATTGTTCCAACGTTTTGGGGCACAGACAGAATAGGCCCTTTCACTCAACATTGTTCTGGACCTAGGCATGCAAAGCTGATTGTCATTTTAAGATCTTAAATTACGAGATGGTGCGTACCTTTCCATAAGTTCTGAAAGTTAATTTGGTGAGCACTGATGTAAAGATCTATAAACCATGTACAAAATTCTAAATTCAATGCGCTATCTCACTTGCAACCAATGGAGGGTTTTCAAAATATCATGGGCATTGTCTGAGATTTTTCTCAAAGCTACAAGTCTTGCTGCCCTGTTTTGAATCTTTTGAAGTCTGGCAAGAGTAGAATCTGGAATGCCAAAAAGAAGGGAATTACAATAATCAAGGTGACTTAAAATAAAAGCATGAACAAGAACTTTCGTTGTATTTTCATTAATAAATTTCCTTATTCTGCCAATCGCTGGAGGAGTGATGAAACCTCGTAACCCTCATTTTTTTCGAAAATCGTTTTTTTGCTTTAATGTCTTCTCCCAGTCCTTCTTCACACTGTGTCAAAAGCACTAGGTTAAATTATAAAGAGAAAGTATGAACAAAACTTACCAAAAAAACCTCGTATGTTTGCCCCTATGATATCCGGGCGTGATGAAACCTCGCAACCCTCACCTGGTGCGCCGATCTGCTTTTGCGTGGTTTCATCACTCCCGGTTTGAGAGAGGGGCTTGCTCATACGAGGTTCTGGATAAGCCTTCTTTATGAATTGACTTTATGGAAGCGCCCATAATCGATATTTTCTGGTTCATTTTATATGCCTGACTTAATAAAGAAATATTTCATTCATTCATTGACTCATTTATTCATCCATTCATTGATTCATCTATTCATCCATTCATTCATTCATTTTATTCCAGTCAGTTGAGAAATTCAAATATGATCATAAGTGAAGGAGTTACATTATGTAAATCTATTTGAAATCCTGTTATAGGGATGACTAACGCATTGGTAAACAAGATGTTCTCATAAGGCACAAACGTAGTTGACACTTAATTTAAGGCGACAGTCACACCTTGAAAAGACAGGTGACAATAGTCCTTACTAAGAATAAGTGACAAGTCTATGCACTCTCTAGAGTAGATATCACCTCTGGCCATTTTGTTTATGAAGGAGAGGGTAAGGTTTCATCCCTTCTCAGACTATGAATCCGCTGATTAGTCGAATCCGTTAGTCGTGGTTGAGACCAAATAGTACGGAACTTACCCATGTTCCTCTTGACCCTGAAGTCTATAGAAGACATTGTGACAAATTTGTATCTCAACAATACAAGTGATATGGACATTTACGCATCTGTTTTGAATATCTAACCCCAACTGTGCTCACACCACTTAGATTTTTACATAATCCAAGGGCTGGTTTGGAAATCACTGAGCAGACCCAGTTCCATGAATTGACTCCAGCTACCATTTCGCAGTCCTTTCCAGGGATGTGCCTTATGTGTGGAGATAAGGAAGTATCAGCATCATCCCAGACTGAGTCTGCACCAACACCAGTGTCGCCTGGAATCACGCGGAGTCACAGCAACACGATCTGCAAACCACATTCCTAGGTCCATCTGACCTTCAGGCACCTTGGCCACTTTTCCTGGAGCCTGATACAGAAACACAGCTCATTTAGGATGCCACAGAGGAAAAGAAAGGGTTTTCATGGGTGGCAACAAATAAGCGAAGGCCATCCGTGGATCTGGTCAGGAATACCATACTGATTCAATGAAAAGCCCAGCTACGTCACTGAAACCAAGCTGTGATTGCAAGAGCTGAACTCTGAAATTTAAAGGGCAAAGGGGTCTCTAGGAAGACAGACACATTAATTTTGATTTAGTGTGGTCCTTTCATGGGATGAAAAAAAATGTCTCTTTATTGGACTAATGGACATAGACCAACCCCAAAGGAGGCATTCAGAACCAACCAGACACGGCATACCTTCAAATACACATTTAAAAAGGTGGTCATAAGGTGCCAGAGTGTAAAAAGATGTTCCTGCATTCAACTGGGTTGAGTGATTGATTTAGAACCAATTATCAAAGGAACCCAGATATCTACAAAACGTATGCACAATTCTGCCATGACCACGGGAGGCAGCCTCTCAACAGACACCCCCCCCCTCATCAATGAAACAATCAGACAGAGTAGCGTGTCTCTGTTCATGCCAAAGAAAGATATGTGAGACCTTTGCATTTTCCGTGAAGTTGGCAACGTACGGAGGATTTTTGGAATGCTCACATTCTAGAAAATGGGCAGAGCTCAAGGAAAAGGAAGGAGGCAAATCTGAAGCCATCAGATATCTCGCCAGTGATGAACCTAAAACGACGCTAGTTTTCTATGGATCTTCAGCTTGTGCTCCTTACACTTACCCCCAAACTGAATGCATCAGCCTTATATTACAAAACAAAGCGTGTCGTTCATAACTTTACGATATTTAAAGCTGCAACACATCAGGCTACTTGCTACGTGTGGCCTTGACCTTGACCATCAATGATTTATTTATAGAGGCACCAGCCATCCATGTCCAGGCGCTGTTTTAGCCTCTTTTTTCTGTCTGCGGATTAATAATATTTTTTTGCCAATTTAATGGTTCTGCTTCTATGTACCCATAGTATCTATGGTTCTCAACCTGGAAATCGCCCATAATTCGCTGTAATTGCCCCCCCCCCCTTTCCTCTTACCATTTTTCATCATTCCCCCCTCCCCCCTTATAGTGTCATCATTTATGTTACCGTCTATTTTTATCGATAACACGATTATGGATTAAGGGCAGTATTAATGATAATTAAGGAAAAAATAAATTAAATAATAAATTAAATAATAAATAAATAAATAAATAAATAAATAAATAAATAAATAAATAAATAAATAAATAAATAAATAATAAATAAATACATAAATAATGCTAATGATTATCATAATACAAATATTGATAATGAGAAGAAGAAGAAGAAGAAGAAGAAGAAGAAGAAGAAGAAGAAGAAGAAGAAGAAGAAGAAGAAGAAGAAGAAGAAGAAGAAGAAGAAGAAGAAGAAGAAGAAGAAGAAGAAGAAGAAGAAGAAGAAGAAGAAGAAGAAGAAAAGACGAAACAAGGCCAGAACATCAATATCAAAAACAACAATACTAACAATAGAATTGATTTGAGTAAAATACTGTAGCATGAAGCAGAAGGGGGAATTAGCAAATAAGTTTGCTTCATGTCTACTGGCTTTCTTGAAAGAAAAGCTGGACTTCCAGAAAACCATCATCGACAGTGACGGCTGTAGTTACCAATACAGAAATGCCACACTAGCCAAAGTTTCTCTCAGCCTGTTTGTAACAACACATGGTAGCACAACTGAACAGAAAAGGTTGATCAAAGGACACACAAATGTAAGTTGACTTTGCACTCAAATATTGAAAGATCAGTTTGAAAAGCACGAATCGAGGTCCCCCTACACTACCTCCATTTCTTCAGGATGGCCAGAGAAAATCAGACATTATTCTAAATGAGGAAGCTACAAGTCTATCAGACCACTAAGAAAAACGGGTCATCCTGTTGTCACCGACAGCAGGTGTTTGAAGTACACCCCAGACATGAACATCCAGTTCAAGATGCACTTCAGTGATACATGGCTGACGTTCCGAAGGCATGACACAGAAACATGAGGAGGTCCATCCTACTATACCACTGAACACAGAACGTCTTAAAATCCAGCACTCCCAAGTACAATTACCTGTAGGAGCTTAAATCTGTTATTTCCAATATACGTCATCACTTTTTTATGACAATTTACTCCGTTATCATTAATGGCTATTCATTATGGGTTTTTTTGGGTCCCAGACATCGTACTGATCTTTTTGGGTTTTTTTTTGTCTGCATGTACGTTATGTATAATTTTCATAATTAACCCAATTAGTATTCATGACCAACCACCTTTTATTTGATTGGCATCCTCTATTCGTTTTTCAAAGCATTTTGTGGTGTGCGTTTGTGTGTGAGTAAGTGTGTGTGTGTGTGTGTGTGTGTGTATGTGTGTGTGTGTGTGTGTGTGCGTGTGTGTGTATTGTGTGTGTGTGTGTGTGTGTGTGTGTTTTTTACATGTCTATATTTTGATCTAGATATATTTCTTACCATTGTGAAAGCCATCTGCAGTGCAACCAGAGACCATATTGCAAAGATATACTGTTCATTTGTGCTTTTTTGCAAAAAGTAACCAGATCTAATCCTGGAAAATTATATTGAAACAGATTGCACAAATCGCTGATCCGTTTGAGGTTTCAAACCCAAATTCTGCAGATAACACACATTTATTTGACTTCAGTTGGCCGGGAATCTAACTCTAAACTAATTCGTCTTGAAGAAACATCTTCCTCATTTTGTGGCATTCCAAACTACAGACGCATACTGCAACCGAGAAAACTCGCAACCCTCAAACTCTGTCCTGATGAAACCTCGCAACCCTCCCGCTGGCTGACTACGAGGTTTTATCACGACAAAAATGTTGTAATGAAACCTCGCACCACACAGCATAACCATTTAAACAGTAGAAAAGTGATTGTTTCCCCCTAACCACGTTTCTAAGGTGTTTTCATTCATCTGTACCAACTTTGGTTCGTATAGATCATTTTGTTCACGAGTAAATCAGTTTTTAGTCGCTCCTGTAAAATTTTCCTTTCTGTGGTTGCGAGGTTTCATCACTCCACCAGCGCAATGTTTCTAAGACGGAAGTGCAAGGTTTGACAAACTCTGGTGACGTGTGTTTTCATGAAAAAATCAGGGTCAAAATAAAAGCCACGATTTCGTATGGCACTGGATTTTTCCACCATAGCAGTTGCATCGCCTACATCCAAACTCTCAAATTGTACATTTGCTCTTAAGTGATTGTCTTGTTTTCGTTAAGTTTAAGTTTATTGTCAAACATCCAGTCCTTGATATCTCGAAGACAGTTTTGAAGGGTTGATATCTATTGATGTTCTTCTCCCCGGTTGATTGGTATGTACAGCTGGGTGTCATCGGCGTACATGTGATGTTCTCACTTGTGTTGCTTAACAATATCAGACAATGGAAATGTGTAAAGTGTAAATAACACTGGTCAAAGGACTGAGCCTTGAGGGACTCCATAATGAAGCTGAACTAATGATGATCTCACACTGCCAGCCTCTGATGTAGGATTGCCATGAGAAGATGTAAGTTGAACTGATTGGGATCGTTCTTTGAGATAGGATTTCAGCCATTTAAGTGCAGATCCTGCGATGCCGAAGTATACTTTCAAACGATCGCCTGTCAGGTAAAAAAGCTACTTCCAACTTCCCCACTTGCATTTATTTTCCGATATTGCAATGACACTGTCTAACAGGACCACCCCACTTTTTTCCTTCTCGGTAACGTGCATCCATGTTAGACAAGTTCGGCTATTCTAGTCTCTTTTTCCTCCCAGCCGCCAGCCCCACAGACAGCCGCCGTCAGATCGGTATCTGTGTCGAGGAGTGTAGCCTGACCCTTCACGCCCTGGGCGCCAGCAGCTGTCCAACCGGTACTGCCTGCATGTCCAACGGCTGTGGACACACGTGTCAGGCGGTCGCTACAGCTAAGCCAGGTCAGTAGCCCAGGCGCACGTTCATGGGGGAATTCCAGAAATCTCTATATTATTGTAATTGTATAGGTTTAACGCACACTGTAAAATAGTAAGTTTTTTTTTAGAATGCGGGACTTTCAGATTCATCATCCATGTCTACTGAGAATGAGCCAAAGTAAATGAAAAAAAATCGTGCTATTTGTCTATTCAAAGGGCAAAACTACGGACCAAGCTGAGCCTTGAACGCCTGAACTTCCAATCTCACGGTTAATATTATCCTCTAGACTACTGAGGATGCCGGGGAACTCCCGACGAAAAACAATAACCGTAAAAGTAAAATAACCTTTATTTGTAACCACAACAACGATCACAGCCTTCTGTTTCGTCTCCCTGTAGGACAGCAGTTATCCCAGTGTTACCTTGCCGGATGTCGGGTACAACGTTAAACAGTTTGAAGTAGGGGGGGTCACTCACTCAGTCACTCACTTGTCTCTTTACTTGCGTAGTCGGGCGATACTGAGTCTAAAATATATTGCAAATTTATTCCTAATCCGTCTCTTTGTTGTCTCCTCGTGGAGTTCTCTTGCCTATCAACCACGACCAGTTATTTGATGTAGTAGGCAACTTTTACCAAATTGACGAACCAAAGCTTTACAGGTATCTTTTTATTCGTTCGTCTTTTTGAGTGTGTTTTTGTGTAAACGGTATCTCAATCTAGGCTTCCCCTCATGGGTAGTAGATTGTCTTTAGTCACTCGAGGAACACTGATGAATCTTTATTTGTACCTCATTTCTCTTTCCAAACGAACTGCATATATATTACATGTATAAAGAAAGTTTACCACATCTCGCATCTTGTCCTACAAGAAATTCTGATTCAGTCTCCCCCCAAAAAGGAGCTCAGTAATAAAGTACTTATTGCGCTGGTTGGCTGGACCGATCCAGATTTTGCTATACAGCAAAAAAGAAAATATTATACAGAATTAATTATACTGCTATAGCAACATAGAGCACGTTTAATAAATAAGAGGAAAAAGAGGAAAAAGGGGGGAGGTGTAACTTAATATCCCTCAATCACCCATCCTTTCTTTCTCTTTCTCCCCCTCCCCTCCTCCACCCTACCCCAAACAAACCAGAGAATAAAAACAAAATCGCTTAAGACACAGCAACGCACTATGGTAGAAACATGAAGGCGCCATCTTGGCGCACAGTTACATAATATATAACATGACAAACAAATCTGCATTTGATCTATTAGCTTTGCAAAAAGGTGCTTTACATGACCTCCATCACGCGCAGCGAATTTCCGTGTTATGACTAAAAGTGTGGCATTCTCTCACAGCTACGGCCTAGTAGCTCTTACATGCTCCTCCACCCCATTTCTAAGATCTCTAAAGGGTTTGAAACTTTTCCCTCAAATCTGATCTTTGTGATATTTCCAAAGAAAACAGTCAACTGGCTTCAACCCGTAAGTTTTTTAAATACATATGAATGCATCTCTATTAATCAGCTACTCTTTAATCTTTAATTAGATTACATGACCTGAATGAATGGAAGAAAGTCTTGTATTTCAAAAGTTCCAAGTGACACAATATAGAATCTACGTCTGCAGTGAAAGGCCAAACCGAAAAGATAAACAAGACTATTTATTCACTGATTATAATTTGAAAATGGTTATTATGTACAAACTGCGCTGTGCCTATTTAATCTACAAGCCGCTTTGCAACGTTGACTTTTGCAGGCCTTCTCTGGCTTGTTCATTTTCGTATGTCTACGTTAAACGTTAACAAAATCGTGTTCATTTTATTTGCCAAAGCGCACTTAGCTTTCCATGCCACTGCAGTAGGCTAGTGATCAAATAAAAATTGTTAAAAGCCGTAACCCAGTAATCTAAAAGTTTCTATTTTTTGGCCCTCTACTAAACACTGTCCTTTGGCTGCTTACACAGAATCATAACAACAGATGATTTACTGTAACCTTGCCTTCAAATTATCCCTTTTGAGAATGCGACACCACTTTGACCCATTATTTCATTGAAATTACGCAGTGACGACC